ATCCGATCAATGTAAAAAAGTTATGCTTAATTGTAACAAAATTATCCATGAATGACAATGTCGTTGGAATGACAACGCCATCTATTAATCATATTTTGAATATGGAAGTACAAGTGTTACTTGATTTTTGAATGTGACACATCGAAATAATGTCAAAAAACATTTTTATTAAGTTATTGCAAAAACCCATCCAGGAATGACATAATTATTGATTTGACATGACCATCAGTGCACAATTTATGCAAAATATGCAAAGGTATTCAAAGTGAGGAATATAAAAGAAGGGATGGCACTGTACAAATAATAATTCCTCTCTTTTTATTGTAGGTGAGGGGCATAAAATGCTGCTTTTGTTTTAAGTATTGAAATTGACTGTTTTCTTTTGTGCAGAATGTATAAATGCACCTATCCTTATATTAATATATGTATTTAAATTGTGTTTTAAGTTTAATTGATATGTCCAATAAGGCTCAAATAACTTTTGCTATCCACTATTGCAATTTTTCTATGACTGTGATTTTATTCAGTATGATACACAACATTCATTTATAAATGCTCCTTTCATCAATGACAATAACCATTTCTTTTTTCTTTCATGTTAGATAATATAGTTGTCAAAGTTAAAATGATACTGATGATGTGTCAACCAAAACTAAAGGTTATATTAAATGTAATGAGATCGAATATCCATTTTTACAAATTTTGCTGGAAGAACATTATAAAAAATCTTTTTAAAAAAGTATTAATCCGTTGTATTTTTGTTTTCAAAACATATAAAATGCCATCACATAATTGCTAAACATATACATGTATTATAGAACAAAAAAGCAAGTTGATGAACATAATATTTAATGGTTTAGGTGTTATTTTTCCTCACTGAGTTTTAAAACTCTAAAATATATGATAAGGTAACTACTTTTAATGACTTGTCAAGCTATAATCAACTGATAAAAGACAGACAACTATGACAAAATTTCAGGCAACAAAATCTCAAAAATGTGTTTCGGTACCATTTTTTTGTGATAATTTTAAATTGCGATGACATGGTGTTTCTTTCTTCTTTAATGTAATACATATTTTTATTTTATGCTTTTCAGTGGATTACTGATTTATCCGTGAAAATTATATTTGATAATTTCACAGTGAAAATTATCAAAATATAATTTCACACTTTTTAATGACGAAACTACTTTTTTAAGATTTTCCCCATGTGGTACCTCAATTTTATTTTTGCTGACAATTCTGACAATGTCAGGCTGTTTAAAGAAAAGCAAAGCTGAAATTGATAAATAACTTAAATGTCAAAAGTAATAAAAAGAAGAAAACTTACTTCTATTCATTCAAATTCCAATCACCAAATTTCGTCTCTAAATTTTTTTGTTTCATTTTTACAGTCTGAAAAATACATTTCTTCCACATGCAAAACTACTCTTGATGACATTTGGGCATATTAAAGTATCCTACGAGCAATTACTGCCGTATGCTTTAGGAAAACTTGAAAAGCAATGACAGCTATCCCCGTAGAATAAGTAAACAACCCAGCGTTTTCGAGCCAGCCTTTGATTAGTTTGAAGTTTTCCATTTTCCTTGCTGCTATTTGAATGATTTCACATCTGTCAACACTTATTTTTTTCTGTTACAATCCTCAAATAAGTTTTCTTTCTTTTAAAAAGGTGTATTACTAACAAATCCAAATGATATCCCTCTGAATCAAACACAATTATTTTCCTCCCGTGAAATACACAACTTTAAAAAATGGCTGCCGCTTACATTTAACAAAGCCAGGTCTAATATAAATTCGCAGTAAGTAACGGAAATATGGATGGATGATCGGACTTTTTCTCCTACAAGAATTGTTTGTTTTTATTATTAAAACAAGCGATCATTCATATTTTTTTAATAAAATGAATAATGTCACCGTCATAACGTTGATTGTGGAATAATTTTTCAGCTCAAGACTTCTTGTATTTAATGAGAAATTCCGACTAAATGGGGCTCTCAGTGGGGAAAACAAATTTTAATATTAACGTTAATATTATAGAAATTTCGTTTTAACATGTTTTTAAGCATAAAATAAAAAGAAAATTTGTTTGTTTGTTGTGTAAGATGTAATTTTATTTTATCTCGTGAACTTTAAAAACAGTATTCTCACTCGTGGCTACGCCACTCGTGAGAATACTGTTTTTAAAGCCCACTCGATGAAATAAAATTTCATTTTACACACAAACAAACAAATATCCTCTATATATATCTTATCACAAAATTCAAATACATGATAAATACACTACAATTGTAAAGTAAAGGCAAGTTTTAGAAGCTTTATAATTTTGAACTTTTTTCTTACTTTTTTTCCCTCTTTCTTTCTCGGTTATTTTACCTCACCCATTTTTGAAGCTGTACACTTCTGTTATAAATGCGTCAGGTAATGAATTTTTATGCTTAACTTATAAAAATGTGCTCAAATGATAAATAACATACAATTAAAACACAATTTCCTTTACATTAAACTGAAATTATAATATAACGGCAAGTTTTGGGAACAATGTATTTTTAATTATTTTTTTCAGTAAGTTTTACTCTTATATCATAAATGCTTCAGATAATGATTTTTTATGCTTAACTTGTCTAGCTATGTTAAATTTATAAAGTACACACAATTTCAATGCAATTCCATCTATATTGTTTAAATACGGAAAACGAAAGTCATCATATTGTCAAGAAATGCATTTTTTACCACTTTTTAGGTAAATTGTTAGTGATAATCTTAAAGTTTGCCATATAATTTATTTTCGCTTCATCGAATTATTAATTAGCCATATTTTACCTGATATTGTGCAATTAAAACTACATTGTACAAAATCTGTATGTAAAAAATCAAGAAACAAAAATTATATGGTATTTTGTAATTTTTGGCGGCCATATCAAATTGATGTGCATCAACCAACTAAAAAGCCTTTAAGAATAGGCTATAAATTTGACTATAAAAAGTTAGTTATGCAGTAAACGAAAAATTTTATCAACTTACAGTGTTACATAAATGAGTAAATAAACAAATTTAATGAAAAACATTAAACTCAAATCTTTTAATAGGATGTACATTTTAAAGATTTTAAGGGAGCATACATTATCACAAGATTTGAATATTATTTTTTATTTTAATTATCTTTTTATTGTTTTATTTTTTGTTCGCCGGTGTTATCCATTTGATCCAATTATGAACTTAGACTTCTTCGAAGAAAGTGTAGGCAGAATCAATAACACATAAATGTGTACGCTGTATCTTGATTTTTTAAGAGTGTACGTAGTATCATAATGTCTATGTCCTGAAAAAAGTTCGTTTTGAAACATTTTTCGTACAAAGAAAAAATAACAAAGATTGAAAATGTATTTATGAAACAGGTTCTACAATTAAATAACTTCCAGCTCTGTGAAACTTTCAGTTTAATCGAAAATTTCTCAATTACTGTAACATTTCAAAGCCGAGTGTACGCAGTATCCAGAATCAAAATAGCATTCAACGCGATATACCGACAAGAAAGGAAAGACTTGTGCCAAGGTATTTAGAATATTAAAACAAGAAGTAAGGACTTCTTCTTTTCAAAAGAAATTAAATCAAATATATTCTGATTGCTTTACATGACTCGTTTTTGTTCAAAATACAGATTGAAAAAGTGTTCGGGGTATCAGAATTTTGATGATGCGCGCGCATGGTATGACCCCCTTGGTAATAAAATAGGAAGGAGAGAAAGTCTACAGAGTGAATAAAACTTATCACAAAATTTTGATATCAAAGAAAGGATAATTCTTGAAATAAAGGTGACAGAATTATGTGACTATTTACAAATATAAGCAAGGTAAATGCCTTCAGCAACAAAAAAGAAACAGTAAAAGCACCGGCAAATTTTAAGCAAGATTCTAAGTCAATGAAATTTAATTCATGGTATATAGTTTTAAGTAGTTATTGGCAGTGTCAAACTAATCTAACCTTTTGTGGCTTTCAATAACCTTATCGTACCAAAACTCATCGTACACATAAATATTTGGACAACAAGACGTCAGTTTATATCTTTTCACAAAAGTATTTGCTATAAAACACAATAATGTTTCTCCATAAGTTGTTAGTAGAAATACTAACAAACATTCACGATATGGGCTTTGATCTGATGACCATTTCACTGGCACAAAATCGGTTGCTGCCAATTTACCGTCAATAACAATTTGCACTATTAAACCTAAATGTGTATGATTTCTAGGAAATATGTGTAGGTCAGACCCACATGATCCACTAAGAAATTTTAACAGTAAATATAATCTAGCACTTTTATAAAATATACTCACTCTAGCGGGAATCCGCCATTACTACGTATCGTACCATTTCACCTCGCTTAAAAAAGTATCGAACCTCTATAGATATGTTCGACCCCCTGTTCTGTAGATGTAATACTTGTAGATCATTTGTTTCCATTAGTTGTTACTTGTAAGTCATCTTTTCCTTATCACTCATGTAGTGTACTTGTGTGATCAATAACCTAATTTTATCTCTAGTGACTCGTCTCTTATCAATAGCATACACTATCTAGTAATGAAATAACAAAACTTCATTAGAGATTTGTCAGCACTCTTTATTCTAAATGAAAAGTTATCAAGACTATAGTTTCAAAGCTAAAATGCATCAATAATGATAATGATGAATATTTCAATATGAGTAAGTTAATGTTAGAATGTTAAGTCTAATTATTCCTAATATTACACTCACGTTCGCTGTTTTATAGGGGTTTTATTTATTCTATATAATTATGTTTATATTTTCGTATGCAAACTAACATTTTAAACGTTCAGAAATGTTCAAAAAGATTCGTGATGCTTTCAAAAATTGATTCAAAGCTATCTTATTATGCATTTGAATAATAATTGATAATAACATTTGATGTCGTTTCTTTAAAGTTTAGTCATACTACATGTCTACATTATACCGAATATTTGATTTAATATGTTTTCAGTTTATTGTTATTATGTCGGCTATTAACTACACACCTGTGTATTACTACACCGACCAACCTTTTCCATCATGGGCTCAAGCTGTTGGCTGGATCCTCGCATGTCTTCCTCTTTTGTGGATAATAATAGGAGCCATTGTCGTACTTGTCAAAAACAACTTTAATGTAAGATGACAAATTATATTTTATTTCTATTGAGTTGTATGTTTCCCTTTAAAGCTGAACAGAAGTTTTCCGTTGAAAAGATAATACTAATGTATTGTTTGGAAATATTGACCTGAGTTATTTGAATATTCAATGACCTTTTTTTCGCTAATATTGTTGGATACCGAAGTCTATTATACTTAACGTTACCGGCAAAACACTTGCCTAACTAGCCCCGCTGATAACAGTTAAGAATCTTAGTTTCAAAGTGAAGGTTGTAGATTCGAATCTTAATGAAACGTTATTTTACTATTATTATTACTATTATATTAACGACCATTTACGACTGTACAAATTGAACAAATATACATCTATAAATCAAAGTTATGATTTTTTTAAAGAAAAGACATAAGAAATCAAAGGAATGATTCATCCATTAATGTTGCATATAATTCAAAACATAATTAAAAAACACGTAATAAATTACGAAAACAAACGAAAAAGCTTCCGAAAATTAATGAGTCTCAGGTCAATATTGCCAAACGACAAAGGGGTGTGAAGTCAATTGACAATTTTGTCCTCGCAAATATACTTGACTGTCTTAACATTTTACTTTTGCAATTACAAGAACCCAACAGCTGTGTGTTTAATTTACTTAACATGGAGATTTATGTCTTGTACAATGTTGTGTTAAATTCGTGTTATATTTTTTGCCACCGCAGCATCTGCGATGCGGTGGCATATAGCGATTCACCTGTGTGTGTGTGTGTGTTTGTGTGTGTGTTTGTGTGTGTGTTATATAGATTATATAGTGAACTTAAAAAATCTTCTTGTGAAAAACCAGTAGTCCAATTTCAACCAAACTTGGCAGGATTGATCCTTGGGTGAAGGGCTTCCAAAGTTGTTCAAAGAATTTCATTCCATGCAGAAATCTGGTTGCCATGGCAACCAAAAGGAATTATAAGAACAAATTTAAAAAATCTTCTTGTAAATACCCAAAAGGCCTAGAGCTTAGATATTTTGCATAAGGCATTGTCTGGTAGACCTCTACCAAGATTGTTCAAATTATAGCCCTGGGGTCAAAATAGGCCCCGCCCCGGGGTCATTGATTTTCACTATATGTACATATAGTAAAAACTTAAAATACCTTATTGTAAAGACCCAAATAGCCTAGAGCTTAGATATTTTGCATAAGGCATTGTCTGGTAGACCTCTACCAACATTGTTCAAATTATAGCCCTGGGGTCAAAATAGGCCCCGCCCCGGGTCATTGTTATATAGATTATATAGTGAACGTAAAAAATCTTCTTGTGAAAAACCAATAGTCCAATTTCAACCAAACTTGGCAGGATTGATCCTTGGGTGAAGGGCTTCCAAAGTTGTTCAAAGAATTTCATTCCATGCAGAAATCTGGTTGCCATGGCAACCAAAAGGAATTAAAAGAATAAATTTAAAAAATCTTCTTGTAAAGACCCAAATAGCCTAGAGCTTAGATATTTTGCATAAGGCATTGCCTGGTAGACCTCTACCAAGATTGTTCAAATTATAGCCCTAGGGTCAAAATCGGCCCCGCCCCGGGGGTCATTGATTTTCACTATATGTACATATAGTAAAAACTTTAAATACCTACTTGTAAAGACCCAAAAGGCCTAGAGCATAAGGCATTGTGTAGTAGACCTCTACCCAGATTGTTAACCAGGTTTTCCGAAGGAAAAAACTGGTTATTAGATTGAGGTATGTCGGCGGGCGGGCGGGCGGGCGGGCGGGCGGGCGTAAACAATTTCTTCTGTGCGCAACTCCTCCTACATTTCTCAACGGATTTTGACCAAACTTTCACAGAAGCTTTGTCATCAATAGCCCTGGCGCATATTGTCGGGGTTTTGCGATTAGATAATATTTGACCTAATTATGGCCCTTTGTTTTTTTTCCTTATATAAAATATATAGTGAACAATTTCTTCTGTGCTCAACTCCTCCTACATTTCTCAACGGATTTTTGACCAAACTTTCTCAGAAGCTTTGTCATCAAGTGCCCTGACACATATTGTCGGGGTTTTGCGATTAGATAATATTTGACCTAATTATGGCCCTTTGTTTTTTTTCCTTATATAAAATATATAGTGAACAATTTCTTCTGTGCGCAACTCCTCCTACATTTCTCAACGGATTTTGACCAAACTTTCTCAGAAGCTTTGTCATCAAGTGCCATGACACATATTGCCAGGGTTTTGCAATTGGTATATATTTGACCTAATTATGGCCCTTTGTTTTTTTTCCTTATATAAAATATATAGTGAACAATTTCTTCTGTGCGCAACTCCTCCTACATTTCTCAACGGATTTTGACCAAACTTTCTTAGAAGCTTTGTTATCAAGTGCCTGGCACATATTGTCAGGGTTTTGTGATTGGATAATATTTGACCGCATTATGGCCCTTTGTATATTTTTTCCTTATACAGAATATATAGAGAACAATTTCTTCTGTGCTCAACTCATCCTACATTTCTCAACAGATTTTGACCAAACTTTCTTAGAAGCTTTGTTATCAAGTGCCTGGCACATATTGTCGGGGTTTTGTGATTGGATAATATTTGACCGAATTATGGCCCTTTGTATATTTTTTCCTTATACAGAATATATAGTGAACAATTTCTACAGTGCGCAACTTCTCCTACATTTCTCGATGGATTTTGACCAAACTTTCACAGAAGTTTTGTCATCAAGTGCCCTGACGCTCACTAAATTCCCGTGTTTCTTCCAAGACATCATTCAAGTATTTTTTTTAAAATTGTGAACATTCTTTTCTTGATATCGCACAAAACACCACACGCCAATATTGTTGACAAAAGAAAATGACAAGAGACGCAAAAATGCAAAAATTAAGCAAAAATAAAGTACTGTTTACCTTTCTAAAACATTTGGGAAAAAAAGGCGAATAGACAACATAAAATTTCTCAATCATTTTTGTTTGAGGAATATTAAAAAAGCCATAATTCCTCCTAAAAGTTCAATTAAAAACAAATGCCCCTTCATGACAAAGCTTCTGTGAAATATTTTGCTGAAAACCTGGTTGCATCGCATTGCGATGTTCCTTGTTCAAATTATAGCCCTGGGGTCAAAATCGGCCCTGCCCCGGGGGTCATTGGTTTTCGTTATATGTATATAGTAAAAACTTTAAAAAAATTTCTTCTAGCAATTGACAAATGCTAGAGGTTAGATATTTTGCATGAAACATTGTGTAGTGAACCTCTAGCAAGATTGTTCAAATTATAGCCCTGGGGTCAAATTGCCCCCGCCCCGGGGGTCATTGATTTTCAATATATACATATAGTAAAAAATCAAAAAATCTTATTGTCTGTAGGTACAAGGTACAAGGCTTCAAAAACTTAAAATACCTTCTTGTAAATGCCCAAAAGGCCTAGAGCTTAGGTATTAATGCGGTGGCATAGCATTTTTCTCAAATGCAATCTTGTTTTTTATCATTTTTGTTTACATTTGGTAACAATACATACTTTAAAGTGTTTAATACAGAAAGCTATGGCTGTTTTATATTGTTCTTTTTCAATTAATTTAACCATGTGGATAATATATAAGTTCACTTCCACAATATATGAATTGAAAACATCTTTTAAACCGGAAACCATTATATAAATCCAAAGTACAGTATATGAAACCATGCCGCCAGTGTATGAAACCAAGGTAGCTATATATAAGTTGACTTTATCAATATATGATACCAATTCTTCTATATATGATACCAAAGTAGCCATATATGGAGCCAGATATCCATATATGAATCCGAATTATGAATATATTAATTCATTTTTCAATATATAAAATCAAGTCGTCAATGAAAAACCAAAGTATCAATATATAAGTTGATTTCACATTATATGGTACCAATTCTTCGATATATTGTACTAAAGTAAACATGTATTGAACCAGATGTCCTTATGTGGAACTTAACTATCAATATATGTATTCATTTTTACAATAATGAAACCATTTAATCAATGTATGTAACCAGAGTAGCAATATATCAGTTGATTATCACATTATATGATAGCAATTTTTCACTATATGGAACCAAAGTAGCCATGTATGGAACCAGGTGTCCTTATATGAAACCGAATTATCAATATATTAATTCATTTTTAAAATATATGATTCCATTTTATCAATGCAATGTGTTGAACCACATATATATATTTATGTTATATAATATATTTATATATATCGATATATAAGTTGATTATCACATTTTATAATGGAAAACCATGGCTGTCTTATATTGTTCTTTCTCAATTTATTTAACCATTTGGATAATATATAAGTTCACTTCGATTATATACGAATTGAAAACACTTTCTTATTTAACCAGAATTATATTTATCCACAGTTTCACTATATGAAACCATACCGTCAGTGTATAAAACCGAAGTAGCAATATATAAGTTGATTTATACATGTATATGGTACCAAAGTAGCCATGTATGTTATCAGATATTCTTATATGAAACCGAATTATCAATATATTAATTCATTTTTCAATATATGAAACCAATTTATCAATGTATGAAACCAAAGTAGAAATATATAATTTGGTTATCGCTTTATATGATACCAATTCTTCAATATACATGTATGGTACCAAAATAGCCATATATGGAACCAGATGTCCTGATATGAAACCGAATTTTCAATATATTAATTCATTTTTACGTTTTATAAAACCAATTTATCAATGTATGGAACCAAAGTAGCAATAGATGAGTTGATTATGACATTATATAATACCAGTTCTTCAATATATGGTACCAAAGTAGCCAAATATAGGACCACTGTTCGTATATGAAACCGAATTATCAATATATTATTTCATTTTTACAATACATTCTATCATTTTGAAACCGTTTTATCAATGTATGGAACCAAAGTAGCAGTATATAAGTTGATGTTACATTCTTTGATAGCAATTTTCATTACAGTGTATATGAAACCAAAATAGCCTATTTTCAAGTC